GAAAAATATTAGGTGATTTCACATCTTTCAATAATAATATAGAAAATTTTAAATATTTTTACATATGTTATATATTTTTTTGAGTGTTTAATATTTTAGACATACGTTTTTATGTTCTTTTATAATTTTAAATAAATTGGAAATATGTTCTTTTATAATTTTAAATTGTTTACAAGTTATATCACTTTTTAACCCAATATCTTTAATTTTTATTATTGTTTGATATTGTTTACCCACATCTTTAATTTATAATTATTATTTAATATTATTTATCCATGAATCAGACAGACTAGTTTTATGAAAACAAATTATTAATCAAGCACGTATTTTACTTCTGGTTAACAGAACATAAAGAGAAGTCGACTAAAACAAAACGAACTATCAGTGCCCGTGATGCAATAATATATCAGTTTCACTTTCACACGACACAGAAGTACAACATTTCTCGAGTGTACCTTAAAGAAATGTGTAATTTATAAATTTATTAATAATAAAATTATAAGTGGACAAAAAAAAGAAAAAAAAGGGGCAGGACCAACATAAAAAGCACGTATTTACAAAATATGTTTTCTGTATAATTTAATTAAAAAACGTATTCACTAAATACGTTTTTCACATTTTTTTTTACAAAAGAAAACGTATTCACAGAATACGTTTTACAATTAAAATATGCAGAAAATGTATTTATAAAATAGGTGCTTTTCATTTGTTTCCACTCCCCTTCCCTATATTTTTTTGTCTGCAATTAACTTTTGATTTTTTTTGGTAAAAAAATCTTAAAGAAATCAATATTTACTTTTTTTTGGGGGCTAAAAATTACAAACTACATAAATGTACATAACAATATCTACCAAAATGTGGTTCACACAGTTCTCTCTTTGAAAAGAGGTTTGAAATGAGAGGTTAGCCTATTCCAGACAGAGAACTTGGAGCCACGATATTGCACCCTCACTGACTTTCTGGACCCTTTTCTACTGAATTCCATGTCCTTGGTCACAACAAAATCGACACTTTCTGGGCCGTCGAGCAATGGCAACGCGATAGAACCACTCGATTCTAGATTTCTGATCCAACCACGCAGAAGAAAATTAACAACCTTCAAAGAAGAAATAAAAAAAGAGATCAAATGATTAACAATTGTGCCGTTTTTCACATTTAGGTCAAAATCATCGATAATAATCACGTACTCATAGTTCTTAGCTATATGGCTCAACAAAGAGCCAGATTCTTGCATATGAACCTTCATATTAAAAAAAAAAAAACTGAACATAATTTTTATTTCATCAATATGTAGTATGTTGCATTGTCAACTACCTCAGGAACTTCGTCATGAGGGCAATGACCAGCCGGACTTATCTCATAATATGGAGCTTCCGGAACTTTACATTTGACCTGAAAACCCCATACTGGCCGTACCCAAGGATCCTCTTTCCCATACATGAGACAAACGGATGTTTTGTTCGTTTTACACCTATCAAAAAATATTTTCACAGGTAAAGAGAATAAAGTATTTTTTTATGAAATTTTACCGTCGTTGCGAAATCCGATAATTAACAGCACTAACCTAGTTAAGGTTTCGTCAAAAGATAACTGTCCCTGAGGAGCAAATATGATGGAAGCAAATGATGCAGCTGCTGCTGGGTGTCTTGTTGTCTCGATAATACGAGAAAACACCTCATCGACTCTTGTCGAGTGATCGGCATATACTTGCTTCAGTATCTCGGCTATATGTTCGCTAATTATTTTTACTACCCGCAAGTGTACGGAGTAGCTGCAGAAAGCGGCGAGCAAGGTCGTATTCCACAGAGACTGCTGTAAAACTAATTAAGTACCAAAATAT